GGGGGGGGGGGCGGCGCGCGCGCGCGCGTGTGTACGTGTATGTGTATTCATTAATTTGTTATTATAATCGAATTATTTTAAATGTTTTCTTTTCCTAAACATAAATCTTGTATAAATAGATGAGAATACTTCAGAACCAGTTGTAATGGAAGCTGCGATTCTGGACGCCGAACCATCACTCGGTCATGGGGTAGGTGGAGCTTTAAAATTAGCCATGAGTAAAGGTTACTTGCAGAAAGAGGATAGCAATCGCCCTTCGGCGTCACGATTCGCACATCTACAAGCTCAGAATTATTCGATAGAAGATAAAACATACGGGTAAGCGAGCTATATATTATCGCGATTCGATATACGATAATCTCTCACGTGTTTCAAATATATATATCGCGTAGAGAAAACACGTAAGAAATGATTCTTATGTCGAATGCGCTTCCACAAGTACTGTGTTAGACAAGTCTCTAGTGAATTTCAAACTGTCAGTTAACAGTTTTAAATAGAGCCCGGAAATCGGTGCTCGGAACGAGTGATCCGCTACCACTATGAGAGTTTACCGCTTAATCGGAGGTGAACACGGCCCGAGAAGAGAGTAGGATTTGTTAAGGTATGTTTATATTATGCGATTCCATTGCTGCGAATCGTGTTAAGATTCTAGACAAATCTTCATTCACGAGAAGATCAAGTGCCAAATGTTAGATTACAGGACAACAGCAAAACAGATCTATTCAGGAAAGATTTACTGTTTTTATCTTTAGGAATGACCACAATTGTTTTATTTGTAACTGAGGCTTGCATGTATATAAATTTATACCATTATGGATCTTACATAGATCAAATGATCTATATCTAATGGATTCTATGTTTAACGGAATATTGAAATGTTTGATATTTTTGAGCGTATTTAAATTTCGGATAAATATAAGGATAATGGAAAAGAAAATTATCTTTACATAATTGTTAAATTTTTTTATGTCAATATTTATCATCAATATTTATCATAAAATATAGTTTGTTTATATTACAAATGTTTTAAATGTTAGTTAATATTGAACTTCAAACGACATACCTTAAAAATTATTTTAATTTAATCGCATAATGTGATGTATCTTGAAGATTTATATGCATCGTTCTTCGTAAAAATTTCTTTGTACTGGTAGTGGACACAAGTTTCAAAACACCGCATTTCAAGGGCTTTAATTTTTATCTTATCTCTATAATATCTTATTATATATCTTATAAATCTTATTATATATCGAAATATAGTTAAGACAATAAAAAAGTAGTCATATTTCTTTAATTAATAATTTTGAGGAAAATTGAATTTTACAAACAAAAAGCTCAACTTGAAGTTCTTTTATTCTTCATAACTTGAATCTATTTTATTTGCTCGTTCATGTATTATTTTTGTTTTAGGGATGACGACAAATTTGGCAGGAGGGATCGTTTTAATGGACCAACATCCGATTTCAAGGAAAAAGAAGGTTTCAAACCAAATGTTAAACTTGAGTATATTGATGACGACGGGCACGTCTTGAGTGCTAAGGAAGCTTTTCGATACCTATCACATAAATTTCATGGGAAAGGTCCAGGAAAAAATAAGGTTTTTATAGATTATTGTTATTTTATAAATACGTATTAGACTATATTGGATTATATTAGAATATTATAAATATTATCAGATTATAGATTATCAGATTCAATCAAGACTAATATTTGAAGTGGTAATGATTCTCCAATCTTTTAGGTGGAGAAGAGAATGAAGAAAGCTGAACAAGAAGTTTTAATGAAACGAATGTCTTCAACGGATACACCTTTAGGTACACTAAATTTGTTGCAAGCAAAACAGAAGGAAACACAATCGCCATATATAGTGCTCAGTGGCAGTAAACAGATGCAAACGTAAGGATACTTAATTTATTTTAAAATAAATCAAACATTTTTTAATTCGCCAATATTTTAAATATATACATGTAGATATTTATCTTAATTTTTCTTTTTTTTTTATTATGGCATAAACAAATTGGAATGCAATAATGAATATTTTGTTTGCAGGACCAGCATAGCTAAAACAAAACATTGAACGGTAAAAATATATAAGTATAAAAATTGTATATAATCTTACATGTATAGTGCAGCATCTGGAAGTAAAAATTAAATTTACAGTTTTATGTGAAAATTATAACTAGGAGAAGAAATTATGTATTTTTCTCAATTAATGAATCATAAGTAAATAATAATTAAACAAGTATTCAAAAAAATTTATCAGGATTCAGGATCAATCAGTTCTGCATAGCTTATTTAATTCTATAATGTATTATTGTGTCTGAAAAAGTAATTGAATTGAAAAGAGAGAGAGAGAGAGAGAGAGAGAGAGAGAGAGAGAGAGAGAGAGAGAGAGAGAGAGAGAGAGAGAGAG